AATGTACACTATATACTAAGGCATTTGACTAACTGATATTAGATAAGAACTGCACCGAACTGTTCTGACTTTTCATACAAATTTAACTCACAGATAGACTTAGGAATGGAACTCATTCATAATCAAGGGACTGCCTGTATATAAAGAAATTTCACAACTCAATGATAAGAACCCAAAAAACTAAATTTTAAATGGGACAGATGATTTAAACAAACACTTCACCAAAGGAGTAACAGATGAAAAGGTGCTCAACATCGTTAGTCATTAAGGAAATGCAAAATATAACCACAATGAGATACCACTGCATACCTGTTAGAATGGCTAAAATTAATTATTTTGAGATTCACCCATGTTGTTTCATGTATCAGTACTTCATTTCTTTTTACTATTGAGTAGTATTCTGTTGTACAAATGTACCACAATATGCTTATCTATTCACCTATTGAACATTTGAGGGTTTGTTTTGCAGTTTTGGGCTATTACAAATAAAGCTGCAATGAGCATTTGTGTACAGGTATTTGTATGGACGTAAGCTTTCTTTTTCCTTGGGTAAATACCTAGGAGTGGGATGGCTGGATCATATGGCAGGTCTGAACTGTATTCTAGGTCCAGAAGACAGGTATCTAGGAACGGTGGTAGGTGCGCTGAATGGAAATGCTGGCTTCCTTCAGAAAGCAACACTGATGACTCATTCCCTGCTCAGGTCCAGATAACAAAAGGCAAAGTACCTAATTACCATTTTAATCTCACTTTGACTTCCCTTCCCCTCCATCCCCACCTCTGTGGTTTTCTTTTCTAAATTATGTACACTTCTTTTCTGATCCAAAGAATACCATGATGTGGAGAAACAGCACTTTCGTACAGTTGATATTACATATTTCTAGGGCATTTGACAATTATCCATCAAAAATGTAAATACATACTGAGGCAGAAACTTCACTCAAAGAAATTGATCCTTCAGGTATATTCATATGTGTGAGCAAAGATATCTGCACAAAATGTTCATTGCAACAATTGCAAAGAATGGCAACCACCCAAATGTCTCGCAAGGAGGAGTTATCTAAATTATGCATATGTTTACATGCAGCTGTTAGAAGATAAAGAAAAGTCTGTCATCTCTCTCTCTCTCTCTCTGTCTACCATATATCTGTTGTTGTGAGGTGCTGTCGAGTAGGCCCCCTACTCATGGTGACCCCAAGCACAACAGAACAAAACACTGCCAAGTCCTGCGCCGTCCCCACAATCTGTTGCAGATGGACTGTTCTGATCTATAGGGTTTTCATTTGCTGATTTTCAGAAGTAGATCTCCAGGCCTTTCTTCCTAGTTCATCTTACTCTGGAAGCTACGCTGAAACCTGTTCTACATCATAGCATCATGCAGCCCTCCACTGACAGATGGGTGGTGTCTGCACATGAGGCGTATTGGCCAGAATTTGAACCCAAGTCTCCCACACAGAAGGTGAAAATTCTACCACTGAGCCACCCGGACCCCTCTACCATATATACATATATATATATAGAGAGAGAGAGAGAGTGAGTCCTGGTGGTACAATGGTTAAGTGCTCAGCTGCTAAACTGAAATGTTGGTGGCATAGCGGAAGAAAGGCCCAGTGATCTGCTTCTGTAAAGATCACAGCCAAGAAAACCTATGGGGCAGTTCTACTCTGTCACATAGGGTCGAGATATATATATATATATATATATATGTACACATATATACACACATACACACATATATGTATATGAAAAGCAAGGTACAGAACAGTATATAGAATATTGTAACAAGTATCTCTTATTCTACAGACTCAGATGAGCAAGTTATATTGATTTATTTTTAAGGAAATTAATTTATATCAGACTCAAAGCACTCATCCCATCAGGCTGATGGGAAATTCAGTCTTGGTCACTACAGGGATTCCCCAGTTGAAGACTTTGTACAACAGTTTCCCTAACTTGAGAGTTAGGCAAAAGTCCTGAGGGTCCTACATGGACCAGCTCATCAGGAGGACCCTCTGGTCTCAGCTCTGGTCCACACTGGTCCACTGACCCAGGCGGCATGTCCCCTTCATGTCCAGCAGGCTCTGCTAAGTTCACACCACACTGGGAATGCAGGAGGCTTTGGAGGGACTGGAGGTCCCAGGGCTTAGAATTCTGCCTCCTCAGCACACCATGCAACTAACTCTTCTGAGGACTTTCCAGCTTCCCATGTAAATTAGCCTCTGCTTTCAGGCTGTGTTTCTTTGATGTCTGGGTGGATTCTTATGCCAGCACTGTTATAAGAGCTCTCAAACACATTAACATTTTAACAAGTCCCCTCTCATTACATTTCTCCCTGTGGGTTTTATTAGCCACTGCCTTGGAGCAGTGGTGGTTTAGTGGTAGAATTCTCGCCTTCCGTGCGGGAAACCTGGGTTTGATCCCCAGACAATGCATCTCTTGTGCAGCCACTACCTGTCTGTCAGTGGAGGCGTGTGTGTTGCTATGATGCTGAACAGGTATCACTAAGATCAGCTAGGCCTGGCAATCTACTTACGAAAATCCATCAAAGAAAATCCTATCGACAGATCACAACAGTCCTATCCCCAGCCAGTCATGGGATGGTGCAGGAGGGCAGCGATTTGTTCCATTGTGCATGGGGTAGCTGTGAGTCGGGCAGCTGACAACAATAGCAATAACAAGAACCACAACAAGTAGCTGCCTTCTATTTATTTGGGCATGAAGTGTCCTTGGAGTAAGGATCTCCCACCACCATTATCAATTGAATTACCCCCTTCCTACCCTCTAATTCTCCCAACCCAAGCAGGGTCTCTGTTTTGAAGCACTTTTCAAGAAGAAAAATAAATCCTCCTTAGAAAGCCATCCCCTTTGCCAATCTCCCCTCCTACCCCATTTTTGGCTGGTTTAACATCTTCTCTGCTTGAGAATAAATTACAAATCAACTTAATTAAATATAAAAACAGAGAATTCATCACTTAAAATAGTTACCAAAATATACTGGCATTTGTTTCTTTTCCTTCTTAGGCCCCATTTAAAATCACAGTTCCAGTATCGTAGTTCTATCAAAGTTTACACAACAAAATCCTGTCTCCCTGTCTAACAATTTACGTACTTGCTCAAGGGGATGTCTAATCTCTCAAACAAAAGGAACTGTATCTAGAAACCTGGGACACTCATGGCTTTCACTGTGGTAAATAAAGAGTTCCATTTAGTTTCCTTCCCAAAGGACAACATATTTCACTGAGTGACAGTTTTCACCCTGGCTGGAAAAAGGAAACATCTTGGAAAAAGGAAAAAGTCATTCTCTCTCTCTCTCACACACACACACACACACACTCCATAGATTTAAGACACTGTCTTTGTTTCCTAGGGCTTCTGCAACAAAATACCACAAAGTGGATGGCCTTAAAGAAGAGAAATTTATTGTCTCACAGTTCTGGAGACTAGAAGTCTGAATCAGGGTATCGATTGGGTCGATTCCTTCTGAAGGTTCTGAAAGAGAAACTGATCCACCCCTCTCTCCTAGCTTCTAGTGGCTGCCGGCAACCCTTGGTGTTCCTTTGCTGCTTGTAGATGTATTCTCACATGGTGCCTATCTGTGACTACCTCCCGTGTCTGTTCTCCTCTTTTACAAGACACTACACAGAAGGGATTAAGATTAGGACCCTCCCTACTGTGGTAAAGGAGCCCCAGTGTCACAGTGGTTAAGCTATCAGCTGCTAACCGAAACGTCAGCAGTTGGAAACCAACAGCTACTCCACAGGAAGAAGATCTAGCAGTCTGCTTCCATAAAGATTACAGCCATGGAAACCCTATGGGGCAGCTCTACCCTGTCCTATAGGGTCGCTATGAGTCAGAGTTGACTCAACGGCAATGTGTTTGATTTGGTTTTCTACTTTGGTATGACCTTGTTAATTTAACCGATAGTATCTTAAAAACAAACAAACAAAACCCTATTTCCCCAAATAAAGTTACAATAACAGGAACAAGGATTAGGACTTCAGCATATCTTTCTGGGGGACACCATACAATCCATAACAGTCACTGATAACACACATCTTGGCAGAATCCTTTTCACAACTCCTCCAAACGCACCTAAAGGACCTCAGCTTTATCTGGGCTATCCTACCAGATTTCCTTGGAATGCTGAGATTTCTAATTGCCATTTTCAAATCCCTATTACTTAACAGTATAACCTCATAATTTAGCTTCCCCTTCCTCCTTAAAGCCCATCTGACCCCATGCCCCCTGAGCTGCTGGACATGTTGTTCAGGTACCCAGCGTAGATCTCTGGCTGCCTTGCAGGTCTTGCCCTCACTTGGAGTGGATATCATGTGGCCTCTGCAAGCCCCATTTCACCCCTCTACCAGTTAGTGGGCCTGAGTACTCAGTGGGGTTAACCCTATTCCCCATCCAGGTGTGGACACTGATTTTTTTCCTTCAGAGTAATCCCTTTGTCCTTGGCTTAGTTTAGGAATGGTGTGTGAGCTGAGTAGTTTCAATCAAAATGAAGCCCAGGACTTCAGTTAGAGGATTTGGATAGAAGACACCCTCTTCCTTCTCCTGGATAGAAGTAAGGAAACACGTGGCCTCAGGCTCTTGCCATCAGCTTGTTACCATGAGGGAATGGAGTCCTGGGGCCAAACCAACACATACAGAGGCCTCACAGGAGCCCTGGTTGAACAGGGCCTGAAGTTCAGCCTCCCCACTGCCACCCCCAACCGCATGAAACATTTGTATAAGGTAGTGAAATCCTTTTGTTGCTTAAACCATTGGAGTTGGGTTTTCGGTTGCTTGCAACTAAAAATATTTTAACTGACGTACCAAGCCACCTCTGACCCCAGGAAGTGACTCCTATCACCCTTAGAAGTGACTCTTTCCTAGAGCAGGGCAGCGTAGACTTCCCTCAAGGGCCCAAATTCAAGCCTAATCCTTTCTGGCTTTCCTTTCTCGTGCAGGCATTCAGGTTCCATTTCTGGTGGCCTTTCTTTTCTTCTTCTTCTTATTTTTTTAAATAACTCAGAATTAATTTGAATTTTAAAATTGAATTTTAATATAACTTTTATGTCAGCAATACATATTCACAAGTTAGACAGTTAAATAGTTCTTAAAAGAGAAAGATAAGTTTTGTCCTATTTCCCCACTCCCAACTTTCCTCTAGAGGAAATCCCTCACAATTATTTTAGCTGTTTCTTCTGGTATTTAGTTTTTATTGCTAAATAACATGCTTATACAGCTTTATATCATTTTTTCTGCTTTAGTTATTATGTATTTTCTGTGATGGAAGGTAGGACCCTAGGTTTCTTATACCTCTCCTTTATACACACACATACACACATACATTTCTTCTCCCCTCATTCCCTGAAAGAAGTTATATCGCAGTATTTTACTGTTTACGTAATTCTCTATGTAAATATTATTTACATCTGAGCCATGTAGTGTACTATGGTTACATTTAATCTCTTATACAAAAGTTTGTTTTTCCCTAGCATTTAGTAATATCATTGCCTTTTCATTTGCTTAGTTGTCTATGTATTTATCACTAATTCATCCCAAGCTCTCCAAGAGAAACAGAAATCCCTCTCAATGTGTGCAAAGCAATTAGTTTCTTGTTTTTCTTGGTGACATGTCTCCTGGAGTCCTCTGAGATTCCTGCTTCAATATGGACAAGTTGCTCTCTAGGCCTGTTGGACACCAACATCCTGGGAATTCTCTTAACTTTTCTCGTATGCTAGATTCTTCATTTCCTAGATAGCATGTTTTCCTCTGTCTTGGTTTAATCTCTGATTTTGGAGGAGCACGTCCTTTAGTAGCTTCCTGATAAAAAGTACAAGGGAGATAAAAATGTTGAGAGCTTTCATATGTGAAGATGTCTCTATCTTCATATTTATTTGTTGGTATCTTTCATATTAGAACCGTTTCCCCAAATGTGTGGTGATCATTGACTATCGCTCATAATTACGAGTGAGGCTCTAAAAGATTGGTTAGATGCTGTCTGTGAGTGGAAGGGGTGAGTTGCATTGTGGGCTTGATTGTAAGGCGGTTAATATGGCAGGCACTCAACTATTGTGTTGGGGGATCCCAAATGTGTATATCTGTCAATCTTTTTTCTTGAATTAGGCAGTTTCCCCATAGGAGAATCTTGCAGACTCCTGAGTGAGAGAAGGGCACTGGGGTTCTTGTTAATATGAACACTTTCACTTAATCCCTCCCTAGCATCATAACAGTCCCTGAGTGGTGCAAATAATGTGCTTGACTGGGAACTGAAAGGTTGGAGGTTGGAGTCCACACAGAGATGTCTTGGAAGAAAGGCCTGGAGATCTACTTCTGAAAATCAGTGATTGCAAACCCTATGGAGCACAGTTTTACTCTGACACATGGGATTGCTGTCAGTTGGAGTCAACTCAATGGCAACTGGCTTTTGTTTTTTTTAACTTCCTAACAGCACCTCCCTCCCACTGTCCACTGTGGCTGGGGTCAACAACTCCAGACAGAAAATCTCTATTTTCTAATGAAAGTTGAGGAGGGGCAGGTGCCTGATGGAGGAGGGGAGCTCTTATTCAGACTTTTTATCAATCTTCTTGGAGGTTTTCAGAGGAGGACGGGGAGGAGAACACCCAGCCAACACTCCAATACAGTGGTTTTTAAAACTTTCACTAGCTGTGTGAACTTGAACCAATTTCCTATTTCTCTAGGCTTCGGTTACCTCTTCTGCAGAATGGAAATGCAGGGTTTTGACGTGAGGGTTAAACGGGGTTAATGAATGTAAAGTGCCTGGCACAGTCTGCCCAGCATGGAGAGGGCACTCAATTGTTGGCAGTACAGTACAACAAATACAACAGTAGTTGGTAGTATCCTGGGCCTTGTTACAGTGGACAGAAGGACCCCCTCCCACTAGCCAGTGCTTTTCTACACTCTCTCAAGAGGAAAAATAGCACCACCTCATGTTCTGCCCAATGTTAATAGAATTTCAAGGGTACAACAAATTTATAACTTGCCCTCCACGCTACCATCTATCTTCCTGAGACTCTAGCCCAAACCCTTAGAGCCGTCTTCTTTATTTTGGTCCTCATTCCAGTGAGCTAACTGGCAGGAGTTAGAACTGCAGTGAAGTCAACACAACTGAACATTTCAGGAGTAAAATTGAGGTATGCATCCATATCCCCTTTCCTCCCCTGTACCCTACATATCCTTTGTTCCCTAGAATAATGCCCCAGGTCTGCTCCCTACTCTTCCTGTCCTTCCTAATCCTCTGGCAGGAAAGAGGCAAAAAGAACATTCTTGCCTTCAGTATGCTAGAGCCCTTCCCCTAGTTTAAAAATGAAATCCATTCTTTCTCCTACTTCTCATCAGCTCTCTCTTGCCTCATTCCTCCCCCCTTTTTCTCTCACTGTCTTTGTTTGGGGCCATTACTCTGTTCTGTAACCAGGCAGCCTTCCTCTTTACAGTCAAAATCTTTCCCCTGAATTCTTAGGATACACTTCTTATTGGCTGTGGGTCCTCCAGTAGCTCTGTTAATTGGCTATATCTCAGGGCACTGAAGCAGGAAGGGGAGCTGGAGAACCTGGGGTAATTGGGGCAGTCTTAAAGTTGAAATTTTAGAATCACTGGTGGGCCAGGCACCTGGCACAGCTGGTGAAAACCGACATCCACTGGACTCAGCATTTTTTCCCAATCTGATATTTCAGAATGCAAGACTCTAATAGGGACTTTTCCTCCTACATTCCTCATTTAGACTCAACCATTGAAAATATAACTAGTGAAATTTTTGAAGTAGGTCTTATTAACACAAAGTCATGATCAATTAGATATTTGGAATCAACACAATGGTGTGAGTACAAGGTCACTTGGAGGCTGTGTGTGAATGAAGTTGGACGCAAGCACTGAAGACCAGGCCTTACCAAAAGAACCCTTACACTCTTATCATTTTCAACCACACACAGACAGGAAGTCTGCACTTGATCTTTGTCATATGTAGATGACATTTTCTGAGGGTAACCCTTAGTCTGTCCTTAAAATTCTCTCCAGCAAAGTAATAGAGCAAAGGGTTGAGGCAGGAATTGGTTGCTGCCATAGTCAGTGTGATGACCACAGCTTTATGCAGTGAGGTTTTGCACATACTCCACATGACCAGGTGGAGGGTTCTCAGTATGTGATAGGGCAGGAAACACAGGAGGAAGGTGATCAAGGCAATGATGATGGTGGTCAGTGCCTTCCTGTGAGAAATCCGCTGCCCTGATTCTGGGAACTCCACCTTCAGCAGAGTTCGGATGATCAGCAGGTAACAGATGCTGAGAATGCAGAATGGCAGGAAGAAGCCCACCACGAAGGCAACGTAGTTCAAGATCTGCAGTTTAACAATTTTATTGTCACTCGGCTCTAAGCATAAAGTGACATTGTTCTCCTGCTTGACCCCGTTATTCAGAAGCACTGCTGAGGAAGCCATGATAAGAATCCATATGATCCCACATAGGATCCAGGCACTCCTGATGCTGGTGGCATGGAGGAGCCGTAAAGGGTGAACCGTTGCCAAGAAACGCACAACACTCAGCACAGTCAGGAAATAGATGCTGCTGTACATGTTGACATAAATGGAGTAAGACATGAATCTGCAGGCCAGGTCCCCAAATATCCAATTGGAGCCTCTGAGGTAATAGTCAATCCTGAAAGGCAGTGTGGTTGTGAACAGGAGATCAGAAATGGCCAGGTTTAACATGTAAACATTCACAGATGTGGATTTCTTATACGGCTGCAGGAAAACAAATATGGAAAAGCCATTTCCCAAGGCTCCCCAGATGAAGATTATTAGGTACATGATAGGGTAAAATTCTCTCTTGAAGTTTCCAATCGTGCATTTACTGTTGTTGTTGCTATTGCTGAAGTCAACATTTTGTTCCATTTCTGCTTTGGAGGTGGATAGAGGCAAGGACATAGACTTTCTCTCTGCTGGGTTAAAAAGAAACAGGCACAAAAAGTTATTTGGTGCATTGCCCTTATCCTTCCTGCTCACATTTTCCCAGGTTTCAATAAAATAGGAAGAAGCACTAGTTTTTCTTTGAAACTTTAGTTGAAAAATAATGGTTAAGTCTTTACTATATGCCATGGTGATGCAGTGGTTAAGAGCTACGGCTGCTGACCAAATAGTCAAAGTTCAAATTCACCAGCCACTTCTTGGAAGCCTTATGGGGCAGTTCTACTCTGTCCTGTAGAGTTGCCATGAGTTGGAATTGACTCAATGGCAGTAAGTTTGGTTTTTTGGTTATATGTTGCAATATATTACATGATAAATTTCCTAATTCAAAGAATGTAGACTGAACATTAAATTATTTGGTAGAAGTCGAAGTCTCAAACTTAGGGAACACTTGACTTAGTACTCATGTTGACATGAGTACCTCCCTGTGATACTGCAACCTAAATCTAACAGATACTGGATTTCTCCTCAGAAACTATGGAGGCCAGAAGGAAGTGGCGTAACAGTTTTCAAGTGCTGAAAGAAAAGGACTGTCAACCTAGAGTCCTATATCCAGTAAAAATATCTTTTAGGTATGAAGAGGAAATCAAGACATTCTCATATGAAGGAAAACTAAGACAATTTGTTGCCAGGCCCTGAAAGAACCACTAAAGGAAGTTCTCTAAACATAAAGGAAACAAGAAAAGAAGGAATCTTAGAACATTAGAAAGGAAGAAATAACGTGCTAAGAGTGATGGTTAAGGTTGTGTGTCAACTTGCCTGGGCCATGATTCTCAGTGGTTTGGCAGTTATGATGTACTTCTGCAGTTATATAATGATGTAATCATCTCCATGATGAGATCTGATATAACATAATCCCCTCCATGATGAGATCTGCTATGAGCAGCCAATCAGTTGAAAGGCAGTATTCTTGGACGTGTGGCCTGCATCCAATATATATATTCTGGCAAAGATCACTGGCTTTTGCTCTGCTCTGGATCCTGCATTTGGCTTGTCATCATCTGACCTCTGGTTCTTGGGACTTGAGCCAGCAGCATATTGTCTTACCTGCCAGTCTTGGATTCATCAGCCCCTGCAACTATGTGAATCAGGAGAAGGCTCCAGCCTGATGCTTGACCCATGGACTTGGGACTTTCCAGCCTCTACAACAACAAGAGCCATTTCCTTGATGTAAATCTCTCTGTCTGTCTATATATATATAAAAAACCAAACCAAACTCGTTGCCGTTAAGTTGATTCTGACTGTATATGTATGTATGTATGTGTGTGTGTGTGTGTGTGTGTGTGTACATATACATATATCAAAAGTTTTCTTTTGATGCTTCTAAATTATGCTTAAAGTAAAAATTATAATACTGTGTCTGATATGGTTCTAAATGGATATAGAGAAATCATTTAAGACAATTATATTATAAATGGATGAGGGTAAAGAGAGGTAGAATTTCTACACTTCACTTCACTTGAACTAGTAAAATGACAGTGCCAGTAGACTGTGATATATATATATACATATATATAAAATATAATACCTACAGCAACCACTAAAAAGCTATACAAAGAGATACACTAAAAAATGCTATAGATAGGGGAAGTGGACCCCAACATGGTGCCCTAAACAGATGTATCATGCCATCCCTCTGCAGCAAAGACCTGAAAAACTAAGTAAAACAGATACAAATGTCAATCTGGAACCCTAAGTATCAAATGAAGGGATAAAGAAATAGATCAAACACCAAATGGAAGAAGAAACTGAAGGAAAACAGACAACAAGGAGAGATACAGAGTGGATGTCCCCCGCCAAATAATGTAGCACAGTATTGCCATCTTGGAGCACAGCCATCTACAACACCGGACAGGGAGTATGGGAAGGCAACTTCACAAGGGCTCCCAACAGGAGACAGAGCATCAGTAACCAGAGAAACACTTTCCCACCTGTCATGGTTTGAATTATGTCCCCCGAAAAATGTGTATATCAATTTGGCTAGGCCATGACTCCTGGTACTGTGTGATTTTCCTGTATGTTGTAAACCTGCCTCTATGATGTTAATGAGGGAGGATGGGTGGCAGTTGTGTTAGTAAGGCAGGACCTGATCTACAAGACTGGATTATGTCCTGAGGCAATCTCTTGAGATAAAGAAGACAGAAGTGAGCAGTAAGACAGAAGGACCTCATACCATCAAGAAAGCAGTGCCAGGAGCAGAGCGCGTCCTTTGGACAGGGGTGCCTGCACCAAGAAGCTCCTAGTCTGGGGGAACACTGATGAGAAGGCCTACAGAGAGAAAAAGACTTCCCATGGAGCTGACGCCCTGGATTTGGACTTTTAGCCTACTTTGACTGTGAGAAAATAAACTTTTCTTTGTTAAAACCATCCACTTGTGGTATTTCTGTTATAGCAGCACGAGATGACTAAGACACCACCCTTCACCCTTCTGCCCTGTCAACCACCTCCTCCCCTCCTGATGGGACACACCAAGCTGCCTTGGCTAGAAGGCTACTGGCCCGCCACCAGCCCAGGTCCACCCCACCCCATCTACCGACTCCTGCCCCGCCATTTTGTTTTCTTTTTCCCTATCCTCTTTTTCTTTCTCCCTCCCACCTAGCTGGTACCTCATCTCTACCCCTTCCTGCTGGGCCACCCCATGTTGCCTTGGCTACAGAGACACCAGCCCGCTGCCAGCATGGCCTTGGCCCCACATGCTGGTTCCTGCTGCACCATTTTTTTCTTTATTCCCCTTTCTTCTTTTTCTTTCTCCCTCCCACCTAGCTCTGTACCCCACCTCTACCCTTTCTGGTCGAGCTACTTTGTGCCCCCTTGGCTAGAGAGACATTTGCCCACAGCCAACCCAGGCCCACTCTGTCACCACCTGCCAGCTCCTGCTGTGCCATTTTTTCCACTTTCTTCCTAATCTTTCTCCCTCCCACTGAGCCCTGTATGCCACCTCTACCCATTCCCGCCAAGCCTCACTACACCACTGTGGGTACAGAACTACTGGCACACTGCCACAGCAGGTCTCACCTACCCCTACCCACCAGCCCCCATCGTGCCATTTTTATTTAATTTTATTTTTTTCTTTCTCTCCTACCTTAGCCCATAAGCCATCTCCCTGCCTTCCCACTGGGCCACGCTGTACCGCTGTGCCTAGAGAGCCCCACCTGCTGGTCGCTTTTTACCTCCCACCTAGCCTCATACGTCACCTTCCCCACCTTCCTGCCAACTCCCAGGTCCACCCTGCCCCCATCTGCCAGCTACCCCCATTTTTTCTTTCTATCTCTTTTCTTTTTTCCCCCCACCTGGCCCCATACCCAACCCCCACTTCCTGCTGGCCCTTGCCAGGGTGCCATGGCTAGAGTGTCCCCAGCTCAGCCTGCGGCTGCACTGAGCTCACATTGTCCCTTCCCTCCTGTCACTCAACCAGCTGCTGAAAGGAGGGAAGTGAGCCTATACCACTCCTCATCTGACACTCCTGCCTATTTGGTGAGTGGCTATGAATGCTCCCACACCACTGCACAAACATCAGGAGGTAGACAGTGCCCACCCAGTCTGCCCTCACCAACTTGCCAAAACAGTGTACAGCAAAGTGGGCTCACCTTGCTTGCTGGACAAGGTGGTGAGAGCTATCATGCCCACAGATAAGCAAGCAGCAAAGCATGCCAGGCCTGCCCACCCAGACATATCAAAACAAAACAAAGAAGCAGGATGAAACAAATGAACATATAATCAATAAATAAAGAAAATGATACCTTAATGTCTCAGAGACATCAGGAAATATCAAAACATATAAAAAAGCAGGACAACATGGCTGCAGCAAGTGACCAAAATAAAGAATCAGATGACCTTCCAGTAGAAGAAAAGGCAGTGGAACCACCCGATACGGAATTCAAAAGACTAATATTTAAGGCTCTCCAAGAGATTATGAAAGAGATCAAGGAAAACACAGATAAAAGCAAGGAAAAATTAGACAAAATCATGGAAAACACAGAAAAAACCAACAAAAACAGCCAAAGTCAAGGAAAACACAAAGTAATAAAAGAATTCATGAAAATAATAGAACAAAACATCAAAATAAAAATAAAAAAAAAGAAATCAAACAAAAATAGCAACTAGAAAGCCAAAAGATAAACAACAAAATTTCAGAAATGGACAACTCAATAGAAGGTTTTAAAAGCAAATTTGAAACAATGGAAGATGGAATCAGTGAGATAGAAGATAAATCTGTAGAAGCCACTTTGTTTCAGGAAAAATCAGAGAAAAAATGAAGAAAACCTAAGAATTATGTGGGACAAAATCAAGAGCAAAAATTTGTATGTGATCAGAGTTCCAGAATGAGGAGAAAATTAAAAACACAGAGAAGATTGTTGAAGATTTGCTGGCAGAAAACTTCCCTAATATCATGAAAAACAAAAAGCTGACCATCCAAGAAGCTCAGCAAACACCATATAGAATAGACCCCAAAAGAAAGTCACCAAGACATATCATAATCACATTTTCCAAAACCAAAGGCAAATAAAGAATCCTGAGAGCAGCTCAAGAAAAATGAAAAATCAATTACAAAGGGGAAACAATAAGACTAAGATGTGATTACTTGGCAGAAACTGAGCAGACAAGAAGGCAATAGGATGACATATGCAAAACCTTGAAAGAAAAAAACTGCCAACCAAGATAATATATCCTGCAGAACTCTCACTCAAATATGATGGCAAAGTTAGGATATTTACAGATAAACAGATATTAAGGGAATTCAAAAAAACCAAACCAAACTTACAAAAAATATTAAAGGGTGTCCTTCGGTTAGAGAGCCAACAACATCAGACAACAAATGGAGTCTAGGACACAGGACAGCATCAGCCAGATACCAACCTAGGTAAAGAACTCTCAATAATAAAACAAAGCTAAAAGACTTAAAACAAGGAAACAGAGATATCAATCTGTAAATGACGACATTGAAACCATAAAAGGGGGAATAAATGGTGTGGGTTTAGAACTTTCAAATGATATAAAGTACTAAGAGTCTTGTTTAAACTTAGAAGATAAGGGTAAATTTCAAGGTAACCACAAAGAAAGTTAACAAGTCTTTCACCAGAATAAAGAAGAAGAAAAATATAATGTCTCAGTAAACACAATATCTATAATAATGAAAGAAAA